ACCCCACCACCAAAGACATCTTTCCCTCCCCACCCTTATCTGCTTTCTGGAGGGACACCTCTCTCCGTGACTCCCTTGTCCGCTCCACACTCCCCTCCAGCTCCACCACACCCGGCACTTTTCCCTGCAACCGCAGGAAGTGCTACACCTGCCCCCATACCTCCTCCCTCACCCCCATCCCAGGCCCCAAGAAGACTTTCCACATCAAGCAGATGTTCACCTGCACATCTGCCAATGTGGTATACTGCATCCGCTGTACCCGGTGTGACTTCCTCTACATCGGGGAAACCAAGCGGAGGCTCGGGGACCGCTTTGCAGAACACCTACGCTCGGTTCGCAATAAACAACTGCACCTCCCAGTCGCGAACCATTTCAACTCCCCCTCCCATTCCTCAGACGACATGTCCATCCTGGGCCTCCTGCAGTGCCACAACGATGCCACCCGAAGGTTGCAGGAACAGCAACTCATATTCCGCTTGGGAACCCTGCAACCCAATGGTATCAATGTGGATTTCACAAGTTTCAAAATCTCCCCTCCCCCTACCGCATCCCAAAACCAGTCCAGCTCGTCCCTGCCTCCCTAACCTGTTCTTCCTCCCACCTATCCCCTCCTCCCACCTCAAGCCGCACCTCCATCTCCTACCGACCAACCTCATCCCGCCCCCTTGACCTGTCCGTCCTCCCTGGACTGACCTATCCCCTTCCTAACTCCCTACCTACACTCACCTTTACTGGCTCCATCCCCACCTCTTCAACCTGTTTGTTTCCTCTCCACCTATCCTCTCCTCTATCCCTCTTCTATCCGCCTCCCACTCTCTCCCTATTTATTTCGGAACCCCCTTCCCCTCCCCCTTTTCTGATGAAGGGTCTAGGCCCGAAACGTCAGCCTCTCTGCTCCTATGATGCTGCTTGGCCTGCTGTGTTCATCCAGCCCTGCACCTTGTTGTCTCAGATTCTTAGAGGACTTGACAGGGTAGATGCAGAAAGGTTGTTTCCTCTTAATTTGAATAAGGATGGCAAGATTCAGGAACCCTGGGTGACAAGAGTAAAAGGAGGCATATGTAAAGTTTAGGAAACTGACAGACAACATCCTTGAAGAATACAAAGATAGCAAGAAAGAACTCAACTTATTAGGAGGACTAAAAGGGGCCATGTATATGTTTGGCAAACAGGAGAAAGGAAAGTCCCAAGGCCTTTTATACATATATAAGAAGCAAGAGGGTGGAACGGTTAGGTCCACTCAAGGACAAAGGAGGGAATTTATGCATGGAGCTGGAGGAAGTAGATGAAGTCCTTAACGAATATTTTGTATTGATATTGACAAAGGAAAAGGACATGGTAGATGGTGTGTCTCAGGAGGGGTATGTTGAAATTCTTGGGTTTGTCAATTTAAAAAAAGCAGGTGGTATTGGGTATTCTAAAATGCATTAAGACAGACAAGTCCCCTGGACCTGATTGGATCTATCCCACAATGCTGAGGGAGGCAGGTGAGAAAATTACTGGGACCTTGTACAAATTTTTGTATCCTGGTTAGTCACAAGAGAGGTACTTGAGAACTAGAGAATATACAACATTGTTCCTTTGTTTAAGAGGTGCAACAGAGATAATTCAGGAAATTACAGGCTGATGAGCTTTAGGGAAATTATTGGAGAAGATTCTTGGGGATAGGATTT